GAGATGCCAGTTTGGAGTGATTGCATGATTTATAGTGATGAAGATCAATAGTAGTTAATGGAGTTTACTGTAAATCACAGAGTGTGACGCGTTCTGTTTCTGTGTTTATGCAGGAAAACTTTGGAAACTAGAACAAGAGCTTGAGACACTTTAAGAAAAGGTGAAATAGAAAAGAAACCAAACGCTGCCTGGTGTTTCTGCACTAAAATGAAACACTTTTAGAGAATCGAGATGAATTTCCACAAAACACCTGACAGGAGCAACAAAGGACAAAGATTTCCTGTTTGTCTAATTTAATTTTGTAGTTTAGAATTTTTCAATGTAAAATTTACCAAATTATTTAAAATCTGTGTAAACAAAGTTTGAACTACATGAGAAGTTTGGGTTAACTCAACTCTGTTCACTCTATCCATCACCTGCTTCACATTGCTGATAACTGCAGATGAAACGTCCGTAGCTTCAGACAAATCATAGGAAATCACAGAAATGGTCCAAAAAAGAGGAGTCCCACTCTCTTCATCGCAGCTTCTTAAATATTCCCTATTTACTCAGAGCAAGAGACGTGGTGGATTTGCTGACGGCAGCGTATACGTCACACTACGTTATTATAATGCAGAGGAACACACACACATACAGCCTTGTTATGCTAATGTGTATGTGTGCGCGTGCGTGCGTGCGTGTGTGGGTTTGTGTGTGTGTTTCTAAGTAGGTCACTTCATCCAAAATGAACACACACACAAACAGCAGACCAATCAGGAATATTCAAGCAGACAGGAGCATTTCTGTCTGAGTCTGTGAAGAAAGCTGCAGAAACAGAAACTGGACCTGCAGGAAAAACTCATAGAGCTTCAGCTATACTGTCTGAAATGTGTTGCACAGAAGAAAAAAAAACATTCATGACTAAGCAGTCTCATACTGAGGGGATAAAAATGTAGAGCTTATTGTAACAGCAGTGCTGGAGAAAATCTTCCTCTAAGAACCTGGAGTGTTTCGTGATGTTTAGAAGTATTCTCAAAAAGTCTAAACCTACCCTGACTTTCCATGACCTATTAAAATATTTGTTCATTCATCTACTAATAAATATTTGATTGATATTATAAAATCACACAATTATCACACATGACATGCAATTCTATAAGTGGTGCTTTTGCCAATGTCTCCCCCAAGCCCCCCCCCCCCAGAAAAAGACAGTTTTAATAAATCATATTCATGTTCACTCAAACCATGAATTGATCTTATTTTTTCAAGGCATAATTGTTAAACAAAATAAAAACAAAGTTAATGAGTAGGGTCCACAAAGGGGCATGCCTAAGCAGAAGACTGGTAAGGTATGCTAGAGCTGTTCCTTGTAGGGCCTCGTATGTCAGTAACAAGACCTTAAATTTGGCCCTGTATTGCAAAGGAAGCCAGTGAAGATATACAAGCACAGGAGTGATGTGGTCCCTGTGCCTAGTGCCTGTCACAAATCTAGCAGCTGAATTGTGCAGTAACTGCAAGCATGCAACCGCACCCTGACTCAGGCCAGCTTACAATGCATTGCATTATTTGAGCCTTGACAAAATAAAAGCATGGATGACCAACTCTGGATGAACTCTGGGAAACCGGGGCTTAATTCTGGCCAATCGGCTCAAATTTCAAAAGCACAATCACACAACTTGGTTCCTTTGTCCATCAAGGGCCAAATCCATTTGTACACCTAAATAGGTAACGGTTAGCTTCTACTAGCAGGGACGTGCTCTGCTGTCTCCTGTACGCTAAATCAATAACCTTCCCCATCGCCATTCAAGATGCATGAATCCATGTGCAATTTTAGGACCAGAGGTTTAGGAACTCTGTTGGAGAGAATTGGGTGAGAATTGCTTCTCTGATCGCTATGAGAGCGGAGGGGGAGGTGCATTCCTCCAATCCCTTTGACAGGTGCTGGGGTTCATTTTAGGGCTGCTTCAGCTACCACCTAATGTGGGCTAAAAACAGTTATGGGTAATGCCACTAATGCAGATTTACAATGTGATGTAGATCTGTCTAGCTTTTCCTGACTCGAGTGGTTCCCCATGCAGGAAATAGCGGTAGATAACTATTTTCTTGTTCAGCCTGCGAGGGAAACTGAGTGAACGACGGTATTTCAAACATGAAAAGTAAAACGGTTTCTCGGTAAACTTGGTCTTTCAAGCAACGTTCCATAGTTGAGACTGTTTAATACATAAGTTTGTGCTCATTTGAACAAACTGCTGTCCACACACCACAGGGAGCTGCTGACAGAGAGAGACAATCTGACAAACGCAGGACAAGACAATTGGATGTGTGTGACTGTGGTGATGAGCAGCAGTGTGTGGGTAATCGCAGCAGTCACGCTCTCCTTATGAGAGGATTTTCGTTGACGTGACAGACAGGAAGTAACCCAGAATCCACTGGACCAAATTGCGACGGATTTTCTGTTTTGCTGTGAATAAAAATGAGGTTTTAGGCTTTTATTTAGGTGTCGGCGTTGCTGGAAAACATCCCTCTCTGACTGAGCAGGAGCAGCCTGATTTTCAGGTCAAGCACACAGATGGGAAGTGAGAAAGTGAAGCAGGCAGTGCTGCACAGCGTGTCGCAGTGCTTAAAACCCAGATCTGAAGACATTTTCTAATTTCTGACTGAATATTCATGGGGGAAAATCCCAATTCCTCTGTGCATTTTCCACATGAACAGTTTGAGAGGAAAACTAAAAGATGAGGTATTTTGTTAAAACTGAAGGACTTTAAATAAATGTCCACGGGTCCCATTTGAAACAATGTCGTGTTGGTTTGTTGCTCCAGTGGAAGACAAACCATAAACATTCAGGCTGACTGAATGATTTAAAACATACAGGAAATAAACTGAGTAGGAAAAAGCATCCTGTAATACTAAAAGAAGTTTTATATTTAATGCAAATTTTAATAACAGTGCATTACCACTTTGGACTGCTATCACAGTCCATTCTCTTCAACTGTCATTACGCATTTGATCAAAAAATCAACCAAAAGTAAAATCAAATATATATATTTTTTAAATAAATGTGTTAAATGTCCTTAAATTTACCTTTAGCTCCACAAAACATAGATATATTGATCCCGATCATAAAATAATCACAAACATCCACTTAAACATTTCAACAGTGAAGGCACATCTTAGACTAAAGCAGACTCAGCTAAAAGTTCATGTAAAGGTTACGATTTCTGGGGGATGTAATCCTTAACTCTTTCAGACATAGCACCTACAGGGGGTGCGGAAAGTAGTCAGACCCCCATCAATTTTTCACTCATTGTCATATTGCAGTCATTTGCTTACATCAATTAAATTTATCTTTTTTTCATTAATGAACACGTAGCACCCCCATACTGATAAAAAACACAGAATTTTAGACATTTCTGCAGATTTATTTAAAAAAAGACAAACTGAAGTATCACATGGTTCTAAGTATTCAGACCTTTGTTGTGGCACTCATTTAACTCAGGTGCTTTCCATGTCTTCTGATCATCCTTGAGATGGTCCTACAACTTCATTGGAGTCCAGCTGTGTTAAAAATAGTTTAACTATACTGATTGGAATTGTTTAGGAAAGCCACACACCTGTCTATATAAAACCTTACAGCTCACAATGCATGTCAGAGCAAATGAGAATCATGAGGTCAAAGGAACTGAAGAGCTCAGAGACAGAATTGTGGCAAGGCTCAGATCTGGCCAAGGTTACAAAAACATCTCTGCTGCACTAAAGGTTCCTAAGAGCACAGTGGCCTCCATAATCCTTAAATGGTAGATGTTTGGGATGACCAGAATTAGAGCATGCAGTCTAGTTAAACTGAGCTGCCAGGGTAGAAGAGCCTTTGTGAGAGAGGTAACGAAGAACCCAAAGATCACTGAGGCTGAGCTCCAGAGATGCAGTCAGGAGATGGAGAAAGTTGTAAAAGACAACCATCACTGCAGCCCTCCACCATTCAGGGCTTTAAGGCAGAGTGGCCTATCTGAAACCTCTCTTCGGTGTAAAACACATGAAAGACTGCATGGAGTTTACTAAAACACACCTGAAGGACCCCGAGATGGTGAGAAATAAGATTCTCTGGTCTGATGAGACCGAGATAGAAATTTTTGGCTTTAATTCTAAGCGGTATGTGTGGAGAAAACCAGGCACTAATACAGTCCCCACAGTGAAGCATGGCGGTGGCAGCATCATGCAGTGGGGGTGTTTTTCAGCTGCAGGGACAGTCACTGGAACAATGAATGTGACCATGTTCAGGGTTATTCTGGATAAGAACCTTCTCCAGAGTGCTCAGGACCTCAAACTGAGCCAAAGGTTTACCTTCCAACATGACAATGGCCATAAGCACAAAGCTAAAATAACAAAGGAGTGGCTTCACAACATCTCTGTGACTGTTCTTGAATGGCGCAGCCAGAGCCCTGCTCTCTGGAGAGACCTAAAAATGGTTGTCCACCAATGTTCACCATCCAACCTGACAGAATTTGAGAGGATCTAAAAGGAGGAATAGAAGAGGATCCCCACATCCGGGTGTAAGAAACATGTTGCATCTTTACCAAGATGACTCGTGGCTGTAGTAGGTCAAAAAGGGTGCTTCTACTAAATACTGAGTAAAGGGTGTGAATACTTAGGACCATGAGATGTTTCAGTTTTTCTTTTTTTAATAACTGCAGAAATTTTTGGAATTCTGTGGGGTTTTCTTGTCAATGTTGGATGCTAACGGATTTTGCCAAACGACTGCAATATAACAAAAAGTGAAAAATTGATTGGGGTCTGAATACTTTCCGTACTCACTGTATGTGGATGCACACACAGAGAAATAGGCACACACACACACACACACACACACACACACACACACACACACACACACACACACACACACACACACACACACACTTCTGCAGTGTGTGCTTTAGACAAACAGAAACAGGAGATCAGGAGTACATTGTTCACTGCATGCTGAACTCAGAGCTGAAATAAAAATAATCAACAGGAGTTCCTACCTCGACTCTGGATACTACTCCACATCATGGACAGCTGTTCACCTCCTCTGCCTCCACCTCCCCCCTCTGCACTCGATCATCTGCTCCTCCCACCTCCCAGTAACTAAAACCGTCGAAGAGAAAAGCCCAAAACAAACAGCGGAGGCTCGCCTTCGGTGCGTGTGAATGTAAAGAGACACGTGTGTAGTGGCTGAGGATTCGCTGACATCCGTCCACATAGAGACAGAGTGAACATGTGAGTGAATCACTGAGGTGATGCTATTTAGGTTGAGTAGTGAGGACAGCCTCTCTGTCTCAGTGGAAATCCCTGTTTCTCCCTCACTCTGTCACTGCGTGACTCCCTCACTCAGACAGTTCATGGCATCATGTTTTTTTTCTCTTTCTAAGAGAAAATCTGGAAAAGAAAGAACAAGAATCATGTAGTGTTTCTTCATATCTCTACAATTTGTTCTACTAACCTTGTAAAATTCTTACCAAATATCTCCTTAAAATGACAACGTGCATTTTTACTGTTAATCTCTGGAAATATCCATCAAAGTGTTGTTGAAAATGAATTAAATGCCCAGTTATTGGAAAATGTTGGTGGCTTCATAACATAGAACAATTAAAATCGGGTCTAAAATACATGGGTGCAGGTCTATGTCACAGGGCAACGCCATATTAGATGCCATGTTTCCTTTTACAGGAGCCTGTGAGGACAAAATGCATTTACTGATTTGTAACAAACGGTTACAAAACTTTTTCCATTCATGAACATTGTTGTTTTACACATTTACCTCTTCACTTGTTGCCAAAGTAGGGTTGCCACCTCTCCCGCATTAGCTGGGACTTCCCGTATTTTTATCTAAATTAGGCTGTCCCATGCGGGGCGTAGATTTGACCCACTTTTTAAAAACTGCTTTGTACAGCGTTACATTAAGTGAAGCCCTGAGCTCCTACTGCTCTTGAGTGCACCCCGGTACATATAACAATCACGTGGGACGGGTCATGTGACTGTATTCAGCCAATTGGGTGACACATTTGTCAAATCCTCCTAACAGTTTGCTGGTTGAATGGGGGGTATGTGTTTACCATAACATCGCTTGTCATTTGGCTCCCAGCTCCGTGTTGACTTTCAGAGCTGGGAGCATCGACAACGGTGGACTCGTAGATCTTTGACCGCACTGGACCAGCGAAGCCCACTATCGTCAGTCAGCTTACCTACTTATGATTTTGTTACTAAGCAGGCCGGAATCACAGTGCCTTCACTTTGAAGTCGCTCTACCATGTTTTTCTTGCTAAAAACACCCGGAAAAACTCTGTTAGCTTCGGGTTATCATATAGCTGATGTCCCACTCATCTCCGACCATGGAGCATGAGCTGATGTAAAAGGCCACGGCGCCTGGCTACGATCACACCAGTCTGAGGCTCTGCTTGTAATTTAACAGTCCCGGTCCATATTAGATCTCCACAGATGACCAGCATGATTACAGCCTTGCACGGGAGTCAGTCGGCCGTGTGGGTGCGTTACCCCGGACCCCAGAGCCCCTTCTTAGCTTCTTGGGTTAGCTGAGTTAGCTAGTAGCTACACTGGTTCATTTGTTCCAACACTGTTCCAAATGTAACAGCCCCACACTCAGCCCCAGCCCTTTTACCATTTTTGGATTGTCTGGGCATGACAAAATATGTGACACGGTCAACATGGCGGTGGTGGGAACCTCCCATTTGGAAGCAAAACCTTATAATTCGAGCCTGTGGAAATTAAATATCCAGTATATATGACTCACTTGGAGTGAATAAAGGATGTGAGCAGAACTACCTCATGTCGTCCCTGCGTTCCTCCACACTAGTGACCCTGTGAATGGACATGTCTGTGAACAAAGAGTCAGCTGCCCCGGCACTGGTAAAACTCCTGTTGCCAAAGCAGAGGGAGTACCTCTCATTGGCCGAGGAATCAGACAGGATCCTCTTGGCTACTACCGCCTCCATTCACTATGCAATGCTGATGGTTTACCTCCACCAATAACTCAAGCCAGAAGGAGTTCTGCCGTATTTTGGAGTTGCTAATGCTAACAGTTATCTTCTATTAGCCAAACCAAGTTTTGCTCTCATTCATCCATCCATTTTCATCTGCTTATCCAGTCAGGTCGTGGAGGCAGTAGCCTAAGCAGGGAGGCTCAGACGTCCCTCAAACTCAGCCACTTGGGCCAACTCCTCCAGAGAAATCCTAAGGGATTCCCTGGCTGATTCTCATCCTGCTTCACACTCAGCTGTGAACTGCTCCAGAGAGAGCCAGATATCATGTTCTTTTGAAGCCAACAGGACCACATCATCTGCAAAATGCAGAGACTCAATCCTTAGGCCACCAAAATGGATCCCGTCAACACATTGACTGCACCTAGAAATCCTGTCCATAAAAGTTATGAACAAAATTGATGACAAAGGGCAGCCTTGACAGAGTCCAACTCTCACCTTCAACAATGGAAGCATGGAACATGGCCCACTTGGACTCAATGTACCCCGCCACTCCAGAACATTTTGGAAGTTCTGTCAGAGGTGTGAATTGAAACTTCTTCTGGCAGAAGACTCTGCCAGAGGTTCCCAGCAGACCCTCACCATACATTTGGGCCTGCCAGGTCTGACCGGCATCTTCCCCCACCACTCACCACTAGGTAATGGTCAGTTGACAGCTCCGCCCCTCTCTTCAACCAAGTGTCCAAGACATGTGACCGCAGATCAGATGAAACAAAGTTGATCATTGATCTGCGGCCAAAGTATCCTGGTGCCAAGAGCACATATGGACACCTTTATGTCTGAACATGGTGTTCACTGTGGACAATCCATAATGAGCACAGAAGTCCAATAACACAACACTGCTTGAATTCAAATCAGGGGGCCGTTCCTCCCACCCACACCTCTCCAGGTCTCACTGTCGTTGCCCATGTGAGCATTAAAGTCCCCCAGCAGAACGAGGGAGTTAGAGGAAGGAGCGCTTTCCAGCACCTCCTCCAAGGACTTCAAAAAGAGTGGGTAGTTTGAATGGTAGTTTGATGCATAAGCACAGACAACAGTCAGGACCCGTCCCACCCAAGCCCCCACAATGCTGCTCAAAAATTGAGGCCAACCCAGAAGTACCAAAAATTGCAGTTCCATCCGCTGGGGGCTGGTGTCAGAAGCGAGCAAATCCTCATTGACTCCCATGTTAAAAATACCAATTTCACAGCAGAAATAAACATGTTTACAGCCTGGTACCAAAACATGTTTTTGGTTTAAATGATCTAGTTTACACTCATGACAACTCTGAGGGGGGTGAATTTTTTTCTCACTCTTCTGTTTAAGTGTATTAAAAGCCTAAAATTCTGTATAATTAATGAGCATCAGACCCACGTGACCGCCGCCTAAGACCCACGTGACCACAGAGCTAGCTCCGTCGAAAGGTCTCAGTAGAGCCTCGGTCTGGCCTGGAAACTGTTCCGGGATTTTGAGTCTCTGTGTTTGTGTATTCTGTTTTGGATATTATTTGTGCAATTGTTGGAAAAAATGACTTGTTGTGGCATTAATTGCACTAATAGAGCATCCAAGGAGTCTCCACTTCATTTTTTTCGGTAAGTAAAATTGTATTTATATATTTTAGGTCACTGCCGAGCTGAGCTTAGATTTTAACATGTACTGTTTAACCATGAAATTTAAATGTAATAGGGTAAAACCCAGTACATTTAACATAATGCTGCACTTTAGAAAATGGGTTGAAATATAAAATGTTGGTGGAGCTGGGTTCCGACTATCGGCTTGTGGAGCTCTCGGGAGACCGATGTTTTCCACCCGTTTCTCCCCTCCCCGCAGCTCGGCGCACCTCTGTCTGATCGCGGCTTCTGTCTGCTGCGCGGGCTGCCAGCCGGCTTGTGGTTCTCCCCTCCCCGCAGCTCGGCGCATCTCTGTCTGATCGCGGCTTCTGTCTGCTGCGCAGGCTGACGGCTTTCAGCAGCTTTCGGGAGACCTCTGTGTTCCACCTGGTTTTACCCAGCGGTCAGCCCGGAGTATCTCTGACTCAGAAGCTCTGGTGTTGTGCACAAAACAAGAATCTTTGGGTCTTTGTTTGGGTCCAGTAATTGAGGGCATGTTCACACCACTTCTGTGCGCTATGATGTTCAAAATGTTGTGTTAATAATGAGATCAAACATGGTAAACACAGAGAAAATTAACTTGAGAGAAAAATAGAACTGAAAACATACATGGTGCTGAGGCCTTTTTGCAACACAAACAACCAAATAAGTGCATTTGTGAGCAATCAGGTCTCCTCTTGAGAGGCTGTCAACCGACCATGTGTTCAAACATTGTGTTCAAATGTGGCCCAATGGTAGCCTGGCAAACGAGACTAAATAAATAGTAGTAATAAATCGCAACGCTCCATTGATGGCTCTCAGTTGTGGGGCGGGTTCTATCATTGTCTTTCAAACAATCTTGCATGCTAGTGGACAATGAACAACGTGACATACTCACTCTAACGGATGTCGGTAAACGGTGTTGAAGGCAAAAATACATCCTTTTTACTAAAAAAGGAACCTAAAAACATCTAATAAAGCCCAAGTCCATATAGTCAAAAATTGATGTAAAAGTCATTTCAAACAAGCTGTCGCCATCTTGTTCCACTCTGTTGCATCTTCCTGCCCACCAGACGAATAGAGGGCCCTGATTGGCCCACAAGCGGTTATAGCGCTGTGATTGGTTCACAAAGAAGATAAAGCGCTATGTGTGGCCCACCATTATGGACCAATCACTGCTGTGTTTGAAACCCCTCTAGGGAGATGTGATTGGCCAGCCAGAATGCTGCTAGGAGCTGCAAAGGTTCCAATGGAGCATTCCTAGACCAAACTTTGCAAAGCAAGAATTTGGTCTAGTTCACTAGGCTAGCCCAATGGCACACGGTGGGGACGACTGTGCTCTAGAGTCTCTCAGCTGATCTCTCTTTCCTTCCTCTAAAGCAGGACTTTTAAGACTCTTGAGGCAACAACTGACTGAACTTTTTGTACTCTATCTCATGAGACTTTCTCCATGCTTTAGTGGATAAAATATGGAGGATAAAACAGAGACAAAACAAGCTCTGATCTGTAGCTCTGTGTTTTATATTTATAAGCAGAGGAGTAAGGAAAGGTGCAGAAGTTTTTACCCATTATACCACGAGAGCCAGCTATCTTTAGCCCAGACTGGCTCCTTGTCACGTGGATCAAGGTGGAAGTTTGCATGAAAACTACCTTTAAAGAGGGACTGCACGCCATCAGAAAATGTCACTCCACATCTAGTCAAGATTTGAAAACTGCCATTAAAGTGGGCGTTGCCAGGAGGCACAGAGTGGCATGGCCAAGTGTGGGGAATTTCCATCCTGGGAGGGAGGGGGAATGGGAAGAGACTGTACCGAATCAATGATGTGAAATTGTTCCAGCCCCAGTCAATCGCAAGTTTAAAATGCAGTAGCCACAGTTCTGCCACAGGGGGCAGCACTAAGACGTTTTTAGACCTAGATTCCAGATTTAATCAAGTTTACACAAACATGTCAAAAAATGCACAGAAACAGAAAGACTAAATTTGTAAAGACCCAATTATACAGTTAATTAGCAAAAAAAAGAAGTTATTTTGGGGTTTAGTTACTCTTTAAAGTGATTTTACCTCTGATAAACATAAGCTGAGTTTTGTTTTACTGATGTTAATCTTGTAATGTGGTTTGGGGTGACGGTGGTTCAGGGGTTATGAGTTTGTCCTGTAATCAGAGGGTTGCAGGGTTTAACCCAGGCTCTGGCAGTTATGTCCTTGGTAAAGACGCTTTGCCCCTCATGCCTGCTGGTGGTGGTCAGCGGGTCTGAGCGCCTGTGTTCGGCAGCCTCGCCTCTGCCAGTGTGCCCCAGGGCAGCTGTGGCTCCAATAGCTCATCACCATTGGCATGTGAATGTGAGTGTGAATGAATCAAGTTATAAAACACTTTGGAGTCCTCTGACTCAGAAAGGTACTTTAGGTAGGTCATTTATAGTTGCACTGACAGCCTGCACTGGATTATGCATGTTTAAAGGTTCAACAGAATAAAGTTGTCAGGTTGCTTTTGGCTAAATTTGGCCAAAATTCACAACTGATGTTAATGACTACATTTCTATTCAATTGAATTCAAGTTTATTTATATAGCACCAAATCACGACAAGCGTCATCTCAAGGCACTTCACATAATAAACATTCCAATACAGGTCAGTTCATTAAGCCAATCAGAAAAAAGTTTCCTATATAAGGAACCCAGCAAATTGCATCAAATCACTGACTAGTGTCAGTGACTTTACAACAATCCTCATACCAAGCAAGCATTTAGCCACAGTGGAGAGGAAAACTCCCTTTTAACAGGAAGAAACCTCCAGAGGATTCTGGCTCAGTATAAGCAGCCATCCTCCACGACTCACTGGGGATCGACAAGACAGAGCAGACACACACACACATCTTCACAACATATATACCAAGTAGTGTTTCTATGGTTACATTGTGATTTCTTAGTAAATATTCTATTTAGTGAGAGATAAACTTTATTGTATTTATCCTAGTGAATATATAAGTAAATGGGTAAACTAGTAGTAGCACATTCATGTCAAAGAAAGTAAAATGTTATTATCAGGTGAGGGAGAATGTTTAAGCGGTTAGCAACAGTGTTCAAGCCGATGACCCCCCTCCATGAGGCTATAGCTCAGCAGAACATCATTGCAGCTTCTTTTAGGAAGAAAAACAGAGAAAATTTTAAATTAACAGCTGAAAGAGCAGGAAATAATGCAGTTAAAGTGCAAACTGTAGAAGAAAGTATAGAGTGTGGAAAGTGATCAGTATGTCCTCCAGCACTCTAAGCTGGAGGTTAAATAATTAACCTCTGAAAGAAAATTAATTGAAAATCAATTTAAAGGCCAAATTCACAGAGAAACAGTTTTTTTCTTGTTATTTCTAAATATGATTGATCACTCTGAGCTAGGGCTGGGCAATAAATCGAAAATGTATCATTATCGAAAATTCTGACTCTTATTGGGCTGTAATCAACCCCCTTCTCAAGAAACCTGGTCTTGATGTCTCGGTATTATCCAATTATCGACCTATTTCTACACTGCAATTGCTTTCTAAGGTTCTTGAGAAAGTTGTTTTGACTCAATTGTCTGACCATCTAGATGATAACTAATTTTCTTTTGATTTAACAGCTTAGAAATCACATCAGGTAGTAAAAGTGCATGATTTGAGCAAGCTGTTAAACAACATTGATGGCACTGCTAAATCAAAATAAAGCATTTGCATGAGGATGCCAGAATCTTTTGCTCTCACAATATTCTTACTTTTCAACAAACTTCATCATGCAACATCATAGGAAGATCTGTACATTTGTGTTTGTAGCACCAATTCAACCACTGATAAGCCTAGTTTATGTCTCCATCTGTGGTGCGGCTCTACTATTCATGCAGTAGAGCTAATGTGCAAGTCATCACATCTCCTGATGTGTCTTAGACAGTTATGAAAGAACTCTGACTTGTTCATTTATGTTTGCATACGTCAGGTAGGCAGAGCGTTGTTGGTTTGAATGCAGTCATTCTGTATAATGTCACCAAGCTCCCACATCTGAGCCTCGTGTCATCACCACACGCTACTTTCAGAGAGAGAATTTGTCAGCAAGGTCTATTCATACACTGCTGAATACATCAACAAAAGACCACACATCAACACCTGCTCTGTTCTTATGTCTAACACACACACACAAACACACATGCATGCACACGCACATACACACCCAAATACGCACGCATGCACACTCACACACACACACACACATACACACACACAAACATGCACACACGCATGCACGCACATACACACACACTCACACAAACATATGGGTCTATTAATATCTGTCCATTTCACAGCTCATTATGAATGAGGAATGAGCAGGACAGCAAGCTGACCTTTATAGCACAAGAGAGCTAACTTATTCAAACACAGTTTGTGGGAAAAACAAAGATGGAGAAAAGAGAGGATTTCTGTGGGCTTTCTGGGAAAAATGAATATCTGATCAAAAAAATAAGAGAGAAAAGGAAGAAGAGAAAGGGAATGAATAAAGGAAGGGAGCTGTAATCATGTAAATGTTATTAGTCTCATGTGAGTTAAGCTCTTAATTTGTACTGACTATGTGGATCATGGGAATTCACTTCTTTCATTAGTAATTCACTATGTGTGTGTGTGTGTGTGTGTGTGTGTGTGTGTGTGTGTGTGTGTGTGTGTGTGTGTGTGTGTGTGTGTGTGTGTGTGTGTGTGTGTGTGTGTGTGTGTGTGCAGATGAATTTGCTGCCTCCTGCTGGTCACTCAGGAAAAACAAACAGGCTTTATTAAATCCAGGGAGAAAAACGTTTTCCCGAAGTCCCAGATGGTTGGATATTGTTGGAATTTTACAGTCAGAAAATCCCAAAAGAGTCTGATGTTTCAGTCATTTAGGAAGAAAAGTTATACTGAAACATATTTTATATCCAGTTGGCTGCGAGGACTGTCAGTTTTTCTCCTTTCAAAACAAAGAAAGAGGGACGTAACTACTGTTTACCACCAGTGAGTGTGGGGGTGCCGGTGTCGGTACAGGATCTGCTCGGGGTCCAGCGCCTGCAGATGACGTCACATTACTGCGAATCTACTCGGCTTTCACACATACGTTTTGGAAAGACATCAGCAGTTTTGTTAATAAATTCTTGTTTGTTAACACCTAAATGTTTTCTTTATAATTGTAATTTGTTAATAAAACACCATAATATCTTTGTTTTGTAAAGAATGTGAAACTGCATAAAACCAACATCGGACTGACAAAAAATAGAACAGTTCTTATATGTGAAGCCATGTCTGTTTGTATTAATGTGGAGTTCGTCTGTATATTTCCTTAGTTGTTATCTAAATACATTCTTTGACTCAAAATATTTCTTGGTGTCTTTCAATAAAGTTATTATATTTCATTTTGCCCCATTTCATCAACATCAAGAGCTTTTGAGGGTCACCGTTTATCATTTGCTTATATTTTACATTTCCTTCAGAAATTCAAACATACTTTCTCCAAAAACTGTTGATTTTTGGACTACAGGACTACAACCGCTAAGACTACGACCGCAAATTTGTTCTGACCAATCAAAATCATAACGTGATAACGTCACTTCTGTAAGCTTCATGTTCAGCCAATCAACTACTTTGACGTCATCGGCAGTCGAAGGACCCAGAGCCGATCCTGTACCGACACCGTTTCTCCTGCGAGCTAATGCTGCAACGCCGACAGTTGTAATTTGGCGACGGCCGGCAAATTTCCAGAGTTAATTTGAAAATGGTTGCCGTCACCGAATTTTACCACAGGACGTCATTTTTACTACATTTCTACATAATGCACCTTTAAGACTGATCTGTTTAATATAAATCCTGTATGTCCTTTGCTACTTCTCTAAAGTTTCTTAAATGTTGAACACAATGCATAACGACTAAAATGATAATGAAACAATAACTAATATTCTTATTCTTCTTATTATTATATTTATAAAACAAAGGCTCTGACATGAAGAAGGTGGGTAAGTAATTACAGTTGGTATATTGTTGTGTAATCAATCCATGTAGTTTGACCAAATTTGTTATTTGCCAGCCTGCTACTTCAGGATGGACTAGATGTTCCTGGTTCTGAACCCAAAACTTCAACATGTTCTTTTCTGAGGTGTCCCTTTCTCCATCTGGCCTAGTGCTCCACCACATCAAAGGGGTACTTTATTTCGTATTTTTAAATCGTTTCCTTGAGCCAGTATGTGCTAAAATGACCCTTTACAGGGTTAATGAAAGGCCACCCAGCCCCTATCGCCCCCTGTGGCCAGAAAATCGCACTTGCAACTTCACAGTTGCCGGTCCGGTCTGTTGGGACTTGGAAAAATTGAGAGGACCTACCTGGCGCTGCTGTCTGGCTTCAGCACATTTCCTGTATGTTTTGGAGCATGAACACAGCTGATTTGTTTAATTCAGTGATTAATCACTCCTCTAGACACCAACGAATGCTGGGAGATGTTTCAGCTGTTAGATTAAGGTGTAAAAAAGACAAACACACAGCGAGGATAGAGGTTTTGGTTTTGCTTCTAAAAACGGGCACTGGGGGTGCTAAAAGCAAGAAAAACTGCCTAGTATCTCTTTAAAATGACATTGTTAATCACCATACTGCTCATGGATGGTTGGGGAGTACCTCTGGGAAGATGTTTTGGTACCATTCTTTATCCTTGTTGTTCTTCTTCCTATAGCTTATTTTCAAGTTGGTGTTAATTTTTTAATTTTTATTAAGTGTCTTGCAATATTTTTCTTGAGAGGTGCTAAATAAAAAAAACTTGCTTCATTTTCTGAAGCTAAACTAAGTCCTCTCCACATAAATGGTCTCAGGATGGTTCACTGTTGACAGGGCAGATTGCAGCGCCTTTTAGTGATTGTGAGAACTCGCTCCTCAACATTGTCACTTTGTAATCTACATTTTGGGCCTTTTATGATCCCTACAAAAAACAAACTTTTAAACATTTTTTAAGTGTGAAGTGAAATGGTAGCGCCACCTGCTATACATAGAAAGAAGTACTTTTAGCTATGAATTTCTTTGTTTTAAGCAAATATTCTTTCAAATAAAAGGTATGACTTAACTTTACAGACAAGATTTTAGTTTTATTCACCTCTAAACTCCACTCCACTAATCAATACATAACTATTAATTATCAGATGAAAAATGTTTTTATTGAGATACTATCACAGATTACCCCTAAGGGCTAAATGTGTGTGTTAACAGTGATGTCATCTGACCTGACTCCTGATAGGCTGCTTTGCCAGAACATTGTCACACGCACGCACACACACACACACGCACACACACACACGCACACACACACACACACACACACACACACACACACACACACACACACACACACACACACACACACACACACACACACACACACACACACACACACACACAGACTGTCTAGCCTGAAGGAGCACTGAGTTCAGGCCAAAGAGCTTTTCATGGCAGAGGAAGTAATAGACGGAAAGAAAGAGAAAGACACTCATTCAGACAGTGTGTGTGTGTGTGTGTGTGTGTGTGTGTGTGTGTGTGTGTGTGTGTGTGTGTGTGTGTGTGTGTGTGTGTGTGTGTGTGTGTGTGTGTGTGTGTGTGTGTAAAGATTTAATCTTTAATCAGTGTTATAGTAGCCTGAACACTGATATGGAGACACAGTATGTAATTACAGCTGCTGCTGCACACACTCTTTACAAAGGTGTGTGTGTGTGGGGAATGGTGTTGGTGTGTCAATGTAAGGTTTTGTCTCTGATTGGTAGCCTTTCTGTGTGCCGAAGTGTGTTTGTTTCTTAGTTTCCTTAATATAATATAATATAATATAATATAATATAATATAATATAATATAATATAATATAATATAATATAATATAATATAATATAATATAATATAATATAATATAATATAATAATATAATATAATATCATATCATATCATATCATATATCATATCATATCATATCATATCATATCATATATCATATCATATCATATCATATATCATATCATATCATATCATATCATATCATATCATATCATATCATATCATATAATATCATATCATATCATATCATATATCATATCATATCATATATCATATCATATCATATCATATCATATAATATAATATAATATAATATAATATAATATAATATAATATAATATAATATAATATCACATCATATCATATCATATAACATAACATAACATAAGATAGCATAACTAATTATAATATTAGCGATGTGCCGTGTTGTGTCCCAGTTTCTTGACCTGCTGCTTTCTGCTCCACTTTAACTTTTTCACGTCTCTCAGCAGGCTCACACATGTTGCCCAGCGCTCTGGCTCAGAGGAACTGGGTCTGATATGCTGATGAAGTTCTGATGCTCTTCCAATCATATCTAACCAAAGGACAGAAGAGGTTTGGGGAAAGGGAGCAGCTTTGCTGCAAGCATACGCTCAAAGAAATGGTGAACATGTTTCAATGTGTTCAAAGTAGAAGTCTCAAATATACCATTCTCTCTAATGACCAGAGGGAGGCCATTTTCATGGTGTCATGCCAGCCGTCTGACCAGCTGCATGGCAGATTTTTTTTTTAATTTGGGGTACAATCTTACAAGTTAGTTCTCCTGTTTTCTACTGGCACAAAGATACAAGCATGTGGGTTTTATCTAGTATAAGTTTACTTTTTTCCCAAAATAAATTCCTAACCCTTCCCACACGTCTTATGCAGCTTGTGCCCCATACACTGTTAGCTTGTTATTGAAATAGGCTAGTGTCCTCGTGATGTGAAGGAAGAGTTTAAATGGGACAAATCTCACCTTTTGCATCCTTTTGTACTGCCACGTGGGTCGTATCGCTTGTATAGACACTCCAAACATGAAAAAAATATATAACTTCAGCCCGTTTTCTTTCAGTGTTTGGTTTTAGGAATCATGTGTCTGCAACATGGACTGCACGGTGGCGCAGTTGTTAGCACTTTTGCAGCACGAAGGTTGCAGGTTCGAAACTCGGCTGCGGCCTTTCTGCGTGGAGTTGCGTGTTCTCCCCATGCATGCGTGGGTTTTCTTCTGGTTTCCCCCACAGATCACAACATGCCCTATTGGTTATAAATTGTAGGTCGCTTTGGATAAAAGCGTCTGCCAAATAAGTAAACAGTAAACATAAACAACAAGCCGTTTTAGTCATGATAAAATAAAAAGAAACACACACACACACACACTGACCTCAACCAAAGGACAGCAGCTGTCAACTGTGGATGAGCCAAAGTCACTCTCCTCTGCAGACCGAATCGTGTTTAGCTCATAATTCTGCCTTTTGATATCATGACATCTTGCATTTCTTTCACTGATGACCCTTAGACTAGTCAATTAAATTAAAGGTGTTTGATTTGTTTTCAAGTTCAGCTTTTCTCCTACCTGCAGTCATGCTAGAAGGAGCGCTGAGACATCGGTTAAGTCCAGGAGTCTGAGTTAGTCCTGCAGGCTGACAGCTGAACCCTCTAGTTTGGGCGAGAGATCTGGTCTGAGCCCCTCCTGGAATCAGAAACAAGAGCTACTCATCTGCTGCCCTGTGTGATGCTTTAGCTGATTGCAACATTCACA